GTCTGAGTCAATGGAAAGCTCCGCCTGTCAGAGGGTGGGTTGAGGTCAATCACAAATGGCAGCACATGTGCCAGCGGAGCGCCGCAGGTTACAAATTAGGAACCGATGTCAGGTACAGATGGCAGCACTTGCCAAAGCCGGAGGGTGTCGTGAATAGCAATCATGGAAGGGGATAGGTAGTGGCATGAAAGTAATGACGTCATCGATTATGTGAGGAGTGAAGAAATCGATGACGGGAACGGCAACGGAAGTTGTAAAATAAACAGTGATCAGCGTTTGTTTCAAAAGTCTACCCGTATAGCGGCACATTCATCTCAAAATTACCTCGCTCCAGGAGCCAGGGAAATAAGGCATTCTGCAATATCTGAGACGATGTCATCCGAGGAAAGAGACAGCATCGGAAAAAATCCCACCGTCGTGCTGTGCGACCGAATACAGAAGCGACCACATCATCAGGTAAGGACTGGTGAAGCTTTCCGATTCTCTGCAGGAGTTCGTTCATATTTCCGCTCTGATGGACGCATGCATCAAATTTTAACTCTAAAACATGCATTTAGCAGACACTGCGTGTGGTTGAAGGCTTAATATGCCCGGCTAGGGTGGTAATCATGTGTCGCAGCTACTCATTCTGTCGAATCGCACGTTGTGAAGGGTACCTGCCAGCGCTGTTTCGCTCAATTAAATGTTTGATCACTTACATACTGGACTTCAGCCCTCACCAGAACTGCGTTGAGAATTCTGAAAAGTAATTATCTGCCTGCTACCGGAGCTGCCGTGCATGTTGTGGCATGACCACAGCCACATATTCAGACATGTCAAGGTGGCCATTCCACTATTAAAACGCCCCCAGGTGGCCGGTTGGATACCCTTCGTCCGGGGTCAATTTGACCCTCCGCTGAGATCTCAAGAACTAAGTAAGGTAGGGACACCAAATTCACAGGGTGTGTTGGCCTGTACCTAAACTCACCCTAGTCAAAGTTTGATGACCCTAGGTCACTATAATCCGATCAAATAAGGTCAAACAAGTCAACCTCAGGGCTGGTCTCCAAAGTACCCCTAAAACCTAGATACCTGTTCTAAGCAAAAGGTCTCATGATCATTTGAGGTCAGTGACCTTGTTTGATCTCCGGTCATGGTGACCAAAATCATATAAGCCATCTTTGAGTACTGCATTTGAATAAACGACAAATATTACGTCAAGTAAAATGTTCCTGAGACCAAAATGTTGAGCTGGGTCATTTTAGGTCAGTGACCTATTCTGAACATTGAGAAGTGAATGGAAGATGCGTGATGCGGTTCCTGTTATCAATAGATTCGAAATGGCGCCAGAATCTACCCCATACAGCGAGGCCTAGAATTATAAAACAGATTGGCTTTGACCTTGGTATGACCTTCAAAACTGACCTTAGGTCAATAGAGTTTGGTCATTCAATTGTTGCCTTGCCTCACAAATTATCTCAGATATGTATGGTCTCGTCTAACACCCCGTTGCTGCATGGGATTGAACGAGCCCCTAGAAATTAATTCGCAGAATTCATGGCCTGACTTTGACCTGCCGTAGATCAGCGACCTTACAAAGTAAATATAAATTGTTTATACTAAAGCATCTGTTATTCAATTGTTTAAGAATATGCAAAATTTGGCGTGGCTTCCCTGCGCCGCTCGCAAACCATTCCGGAAAAACCTTCGGGGGGGGGGGTAAATTCGACCCCCCACCCGAGCGCGTATTAATGTTTTCGATTCGATCTGTGCGCTATCTCGAGGAAGCGAGCCCCACCCCTATAAATGTGCAGTTCGCTTACGTAATGTTATGTCACTATATGCAGTTATATAGCCAGCCTGGTTGAATGCCATAAGCCCTCAGATGATAGTGGCATGAGGCAGCGCCAATTCAGCTGTCCCTGGCCCAACGCTGTTGAGCAACACCGGCGATCTCTTGTGCCACTCAGCCTTGTGCCGATTACCTGTTATCTCCGCTCTGCTCCTTAGACTGCACCCTCTCTGTACTTGGAGAGATGGTGCTTCTCGACTCAGACTGCACGGAAAGAGCGGATGCCTGCCATCGCGCTCCTCCAAACCGCAGCCAGAGGCCTGAGGTGTCTCGCGACACGCACAGAGGTCATGGTATGGGGTCGCGTGACGCTCATTGGTGGGTAGCATCTACAGCGCCATGGAAGACGCTTTGTCACGGAGGTAGAATGTTTATTTCGTGCCTGACAGACAACAGAAGCGGTGGGTATGACACACACTACCGGTTGCGATCCACCCTCCCGCTGTCCCCCCCCCCCCCCTCCCCCCTCCCCAGCCGTAGCACCTGTAGGTACAAACGCTGTAAAGTCGAGGAAGCATGCTGCGTCCAAGTCTTAATCTGCCCAACCATAAGCGGCGCAGCGGGCGGCCAGGCCGTCTCGGGCCGACGGTCGGGTGGATTCTCTCGTGACCTGTGGCGGCGACAAGCGGCGTCCCCCAGCTGGCGGTCACAGGGGTGCGGATACCACAGGAGCGGGGCCCGGGTGCGGCCTGGCCGCGCGCGTCATTAACCGCACCCGGGTCCCGCTCCTGCGGTATCCGCACCCCTCTGACCGCCAAGTGTGGGTTACCCGGAGGGGCTCGACTTGCATGACTCGGCACGCTGCAATCGACTACACGAGGTGACGCCGAGAGGTGCTCTGCGGCCGCAGGTGGTCACGTGCGGTCACGAAGGTGCGCAGTGTCATGCAACTGTTTACAAGCGTTGGTGGATACAAGCGTTGGTGGAAGCGTAGGTTCATACGCACATGGTTCCTTGGCGCTAAGGATAACGATCAGAGCTACCAATTCACGAGTCAGCTGCCGATCTGTTACGTTTACCCGCATACATTTATGTCTTCAGCTAAACTATGATCAGCTGCCCATCCCGAGTGGTCAATTCTGCATGTCATGGGGTGTGTAGTGAACTCCAAGAAGCAGGATCAGTTTTGCACGGGAATCTCGTAGCACTAAGGAGGCTGATGTTTAAACGAAGCTACCATCGTGGATGTGTGAACATCCAATATGCCAACGTATTCCTGCTCTTTAAGTACAGTCTGGTAGAACGCTGTCAGCTAAGAAAAAATTCCACTTCAAGGCTTCGCAAACTTCCGCGTCTGACCTGATTCGTCCTCCGCACTTTCAAAAGACTTCCCCTTTAAACACGCAGCGAGCACGTCCATTCCGAGTGCGTTGATGGCCACCGCCTTAGTTGCAGGGATGCTCGGCACCCGTCTCGGACTGTCCTCCGCCTGAGGCGATGCCGATCAGGGTCTGGCTGATGGATAGCGATGTACAAGACTCCGCCTTATCGCCGACCGCGCGATTCGCAGCGCGCCGCCGCCGCCGCCGCGCCGCGCCGATCGGTGCGATACGGCGCCGCACGCACGCCCCACCCAGGCGGCCAAGGGGCCCCGGCGCACGACACCGGCCACGAGACCGACTGTCAGGAGCGGGGCACGCTGAGGCCGTCGGCGACACCGCGTTCCAATGCGGGAAACGGATGGGGCGCCGGGTCGGCTCGTGGCGAACGGAGACAGTCCGGGGTTCGAGTCCCGCCAGCGGCGATCGTTTGCCGAAGCAGGAGATCACCGCTCCACAGCCGGCCGCGTCGCGAGCTTGTGCGAGGCGCCACGAATTTGACGCTGGTTAATTCCGGCAGCAAATTGTCGGCACGAGTGGCACAATTCTGGCGAAAATATTGGAGAGCCCGCAACATGCTCTACGGACAACGATGTATAACAGCGCTCTAAAACGCTGATCTCATCTCAGTGCAACTCGGCACACAATAGCGCATGATTGAATCGCGTTGATGGCATAAATTATGAATGATCTTAAAAGGAATTGTGTGAGAGATAATGAGACGAATTTGTGCCGTCACATGAAGTTTGACTGCAATAAAAGCCATACCGACGCTGGTCTATCGCTCGCAAATCTGACACAAATACTGTAAGCCAGTGAAACGTTTGCTGTACGCGCTCCTCTCGCTATCAGAACTGACGCCATATTTCTACCGAGACCGCCGACGGCCTGCACCAGACACCCCAAGCCTGTGAGGCGTGAACCGATGCCCGGTCTGAGCCGGCGCAGTCTGCAAATCACCCCGCGTGCCAATGGCGGCAAACGCCATCGTAAACACTCGATCATAGTGAGTGTGCGAGGACTTTGGACCACGGACACGCTCCAACCTATCACACGTCATCCCAAAAACATGCTCCGTTGCATACAGCTCAGCTAGATAGGCGCCGTCGGCTAGTCCGCCCGGCCTGGTCCGATCTATCCGAGCGTGTCACGCGGGCCTACATGAAGTCCTGCCGCTGACTGACGTGCCTCATTTGATCTAGCTATGGATCCTTCTCCGTGGCTTTTTATTTGGTCTGATCTGGTCTGAGCCATACTCAGGTCCAGTATATGGTCTAGTGAATCCTTGGGCTGGTCTATGATGTGTTCCATGGTCTAGTATAATGTTTGGTCTGGTCTGGTAAGGAACTTAGTCTAATTCATGGCCATGTCTGGACTATTTTTGCCTGTTCTGCTCTTGTTTGCTCTGACCTGCTCTGGTGCGGTCCATAGCCTGTTTAGGTCCTGCCCGGTTCAGTGGATCTGTCCGGTTCGATTCGGCACTGTTGGGTCGGGTCAGTTAAGGTCAGGCCAGGTCAGTTAGGTCAGATAAGATCGGGTCGCGTCGGGTCGGGTCTGGTCGGTCCGGTAGAGTTCGGTTCAGTTTGATTCGCTTTGATTTGGTTCGGTTCGGTTTGGTTCGGTTCGGTTCGGTTCGGTTCGGTTCGGTTCGGTTCGGTTCGGTTCGGTTCGGTTCGGTTCGGTTCGGTTCGGTTCGGTTCTGCCCGCTCCGGTTCGGGCAGGTGTGTTCCGGTGTTTCCATGCCACCCATTTTACCATTCTAACGGGACTCACCTGAGCATCCCTGCATCATGACGACCTGACCGTGACTGACCTGATCTAACCTGAGCTGACCCGGTCTGTGATCTCACCTCGGTGGCCTCTGAGGCGCTCGTCTGGTTGGAGAGGGGCGACATGACGGCTGGCGGCTCGACCGGCCCGGCCGGCGGCGACTCTGCCGAGTGCGACAGGTACTCCCGCACCTGGCGCTTCTGGTTCTGCAGCATGTGGTACGGGGTCGGGTGCTGCAGACGAGTCTCCACCTGTCGGACGCCCGGGGTCACGTCTCGTCAAGCAGCTCCGCGTCACACCGGGCCTCCAGCCACACAACCCCGCGTCACACCGGGCCTCTAACCACACATCCCCGCGTCACACCGGGCCTCCAGCCACACATCCCCGCGTCACACCGGGCCTCCATCCACACATCCCCGAGTTACACCGGGCCTCCAGCCACACATCCCCGAGTCACACCGGTCCTCTAACCACACATTCCCGCGTCACACCGGGCCTCCAGCCACACATCCCCGAGTCACACCCGGCCTCCAACCACACATCCCCGCGTCACACCGGGCCTCCAGCCACACATCCTCGCGTCACACCGGGTCTCCAGCCACACATCCCAGCGTCACACCGGGCCTCCAACCACACAGCCGCTACCACATCGTTCACGGCGTTCCGCTGGCGCTCGCCTTCGCACAGTGATGTCGTAGCACGGATGAGGAGCTTCACTAGCGCGGGAGGCCGTGGAGCCCCCCGTCTGCCATGCCCGGGAGGGTCCTGGCGCCGCCGCACTGCTGCAGCCGGCGGCAGAGACAGCAGTGCGCCCCTCCTCGCCCCAGTCCTTTGCACGGCACGAGACGGTATGGCTTCGGGAGGTAACGGCAAACATGATCACCTCCCGGGGCTGGCGCAGGTGTGGTAACCATGTTCGCCGCCTGCCTGAGGGGCACCGGGGCTGATCGCTAAGCCCGCCCGAAAACTTCCAGCCATTTCATAATCCACCAGCCCCACGGGAAGGACTCTACCAAAGTTCGCCCCGTTTGTTTGCGCGTTTGCCCGTTTGTCAGACCCCAAAAGTACCAGTGCTTTTAAACGCCGCCTAGAAGTGCAGCCGGGTGCTCTCGAGAGGGGTCGGAGGGCCATTTGAGGTCTCTGTTTGGCAGCTCAGCTCCCTGACACGGGTGCGCCGCCCAGGACGAGCACGTCCCACTGACAGGAGGGCCTCGTGGTCGGCTATAGTACGGAGGGATGCCTTTCAAAAACCGGGAGGTGGCGGGGACCTTTGACAGGCGGTGTGCGTTGATCAGGCAACGACTGGGGATGCTAGTTATCATGCGGGAACCGGATATCAAGAAGAGCTCTTTAAAATGATGATCACCCATCCACGGCGTCCGTTTCTTAATTGCTTTTTTACTCGTATGGTAAGAAGTCATGCCGTGTGATACTCTGCGGATGATTCTACATGCATCGCATACTGAAAATACGGTAGCATGACGAGACGGATGCATCGACGATGAGCGCGCGGTACTATGTCGATGTTTCACATCAAATCGCACCGAGCATTCACCCCACGCGCTCGCTGATCCGTCTAGCCCGGAGGCCGGCACTAGCCAAGACACTGCGCCCGGAGGCCGACGCTAGCCAAGACACTGCGCCCGGAGGCCGACGCTAGCCAAGACACTGCGCTTGGAAGCCGACACTAGCCGAGACACGGCCCCCGGAGGCCGATACTAGCCGAGACACGGCGCCCGGAGGCCGACACTAGCCGAGACACGGCGCCAGGAGGCCGACACTAGCCTGGACACTGCGCCGCCACTCGTCTGACAGTCGGCCGGCGTCGCTACTGTTGTGCCGGCGGCCATCGCTCCGCCTACCTGCAGCACCTTGTTGGGCACGTCCACCCTCTCCAGCCTGGGCACTGCCTGCGGCGTGGGCACCGGAGACGACTGCTGCTGCTGCTGCTGCTGCTGCTGGAGTGCCAGCAGGCGGAGCGAGCGCTCGCGTGCCTCCTGCTCCTCGGCCTGCTGACGCATCAGCTGCTGCTTCAGCTGCGTTCGGGAGGTGGTGCGCGCTGACTTGATGTTGACCATCGGGCTGCCGGCAAAGGGCAGCGGTCAACTTCTGTGGCTGGAGGTGCGGCGGCGCAATCACAGACAGGCCACAGGGTGGCAAGGGAGGGGGCAAACCGACACGGAGCTAAGCTGGGGGTGACGGAGTACGGAGTGTTCAGAGACGGGATCAATTTCAGAGGTGAAAAGGGACTGTGGCAGCTGGTGAGGACATACGTAGATAACAGTTAAGCTGAGTGGGCTCAGGTATGGAATGTATCAGTGGTGCTGAGCAAAAAGTGTCGTGGTTGGTTGAAATGGAGGCGAAATTTAATATTCGGGGAGAGAAAGAGAGAGAGAGAGAGAGAGAGAGAGAGAGAGAGAGAGAGAGAGAGAGAGAGAGAGAGAGAGAGAGAGAGAGAGAGAGAGAGAGAGAGAGAGAGAGAGAGAGAGAGAGAGAGAGAGAGAGAGAGAGAGAGGGACGGAGGGAGGGAGGGAGAGGAGGGGGAGGAGCAGGGACAACTGGAAGAAACCCGAGCTGATTCACAATGCAAAATGCCGCCACTGCGTTTGCACCGCTCAAACAGCCGTGAACAAAACGTGGCACTCTTCAAGGTCTGAAGTTACGGACGGGGATTTACCAAGCGAGTCCCTCTCAATGTCAGGGCTACGTGGCCACGTGTTAACTGAGGTGCAAACACGTTAACGACGCATCACGGCTCATTAGGCAGGTCTCACATTTCTCAACTCTGACGAGGCAGCTCAAGCCTTCCGTAAGCAAGCATGAGATGGCGATATTCACACGAGCACGACAACCAAGGACACAAGGCGAAAAGCGAACGTCACACTTCGAGCACATTGATTCGGTCACGGAGTCTCGAGGTCATGAGGACACACCTGCAGAACACACAAGGCATACATCAGCAAGGGCTTAAAATCACATCGAGAATCAGAGAGACGCTGTTATGGGAGTTTATCCTGCTTGGCGAGCTCGGCGAGTGATTCAGCCGAATCGCACGGCGTAAGGTGGGCGGGGAGACTGACGCGCAGGTGGTCTGGCCGTGGTCAATTGTGGCATGCTGCCTCGAGCACGGCAGCAGAGCCGTGACAAAGCCGACCAAGCCAAGAAGTCGTCAGCTCGCTCGCTCGGACAACACGTCCGTGCTATCAACCGAAGCGACGGGCCAAACTCGAGCACCGAAGCCACTGCGGCGGTCAGAAATGCCGGACTTTCGATGCTGAAAGCGGTGTCATCTCAATCAGTTTGGTCCCGATTACCTAATCGTCGTGCCAGTGATACACAATAGTGCAGTGTCACAGTGTCATAGTGCAGCTACTTCTCCTAGAGACGCATCTGCCAAAGCAATAAGTGCACGTGGAATGATTCTTCGGACTCCTGTCCTCGCCTAGAGGACACATCATCATGTGTGCATACATGTGCACAACATTGCGGGCAGTTTATTCTCCGGCCGTCGCCAGGTACCATAAGGTCTTCAGAAGGACCGGATGATGTCTGGCTTTCAGCCATGTACGCGTCACAGCCCACCCTGCCTCTTTGGCATTGCTAGAATTCAAACCGGAGGACACTATTATTACGAATAAAGTGTTCTACCATTGTGCTGACCGGAAAGGACATTCTTTCTAAGTTCGGATGAAGCTTTCCCTTGCCGGTCAGCTCAGACGCAGAGCACTGGGCTCGTAATAATAATGGCCCCGGTTCAAATCCCAGCAATTACTGGGATATCAATTGGATTGTGACGCGTAGGTGTGCACATGGCTGAAAGCCAAACACCATCGAGTCATTCTCAAGATTCATCAACACCTGTCGATGGGTGGAGAGTTAGCTGGCCCAAACTTCGTGTCCTTAACAATAGATTAGACCGACGATAGGCCAAATATTTTTCCATCTGTGGTAATTATATCCCACCTAAGCCATCTTCTTAAACTATGCCTGTCATATGGACTTAACGACGCACTCAGCTGCTGAGGCTAAGGGGCGTCGTCTGCGTGTTACCCTGGCAGGAGCCTCAGGGAGCTTTTCTGCGAATTTCTCTCCGCCAAATCTGCGATTTTGTTCGTGATACTTTAAATTTGCTCCTCTTCTCTCCCCCTGCGCTCCCCTGCTCCCTCTACTCTCTCACATCCCTGCTTTGGCGAAGTCTGTTTTTCATGCTTCCCCTTTTCTTTTTCTCACTTTCCTTCGCTCCTTGTCCCTTTTTCATTTTCTCATCCTCCTCACTTTGTTTCCTAATATTTATTCGACTCAACATGAAATCAAGTCCAGCACTCAGATATCAGCCCGAAGCACAATATTTCACATCAGGTGTACATATGGAGCATTACAAGTAAGTGCGTGTTGGGCCGGTCACATCAGCAGCGTTTTGCGTCCTGTTGACGCCTGAGCCACACAGAGGGACCGTCAATCGGGTCACCAAAAACTTCTTTTTGGTTTAGTTCATGGCGCTTTGTTACAAAAACCATAAGAACTACGCATCCCAAAAAAAGCTTTTCAAAGCAAGCTGATGTTGTCTTTGTCCACCGCTGGTGAGTTGGCTCCCTGCGCCTCACTGCTGTGCTGCAAGCACTGTGTCTATGGGCGGTGTTTCATAAATCCAATACGAGAGAAGAGGGCTAAGAATCTAAGACGTGACCTCAGAGCTATGGATTTGTTTACGATTTGTAACGTTTTTAACATTATCTTGTTTAGGTAATTTGGACTCTTATTGGAGTAGGGCAACAAAACGTACGCGAGGACCCGGGCTCATCTAAAGAAATCGAAATCTTATGACTGCCCCGCATGCAGGTGGGTAGACACATTTATTCGTATATCAGCCTCCCCTACAGCTCATGCTAGAACCTCAAAAAGTAAAGAAACATTGCGACATCAGCAATATCCGCATATAGTGACGATTTACGTAAATTTGAAACAGGGGAAGAAGGTGCCCACGTGCTCCCCCGTGCAAACCTCGCAAATCATGCTTTGGCAGGCCTGGTCCCGTCAGCCGCATTTGTGTGGGACCGAGGACGTCAACTATTACCGGACCACCCGCTCATCGACTTATCAATTCGATCACTAGCTCGTCTCCATATTCTCCACGATGTCACGATTATCCACGCGAACATTTCACACATCACTTCCTTTCTTTCATTTCCGCTTACTATAAATGTGCACTTCCCTGTCCTACCCATGCTGCCGCCCACCTCTTACCCTGCCCCCGCCTCTGACCTCCCACCGGCGCGCCGATCAGGGCTCGGCGCATCCCGAGACCGGCCCGATCGCATCCATCTGTAGTAGACTTGTATTACGTAAACGGCGATCATATCGGAATGACTCGGCACGACCAGCGCTGCCATTACGGCGCGGGGGCGCTGCCGTCCCCGGCTCATCACTCATCGCCCGTCGCCGGGCGCCGGACGCCGCGCGCCACGGGGCTCGCCACACCGAGCGGCTGCCATTTTAGGTGACGGCGATGTATCGCGACGGACGCGGATAACGGCGCCGCCGTACGGGGGAATGCTCGGTGTCGCCCAGCGGCCGTAACGCATTGCCTATGCGATGACCGCTGATACATTACCCATGAAGTTCCGTTATACAACGGTATTGCGGTTTCTCCTTGCATGTTGCAGTTCGAGTGTTGCCTCAATTGCTCACGGTGCCCCAAATGGCTTAAGTCGTTCCTTTCACTTCATTTAACGCCTTACATTTCGGCAATACCCCTGCGTTGTCTTCCCTCGCAATAATCAACATGCTAGAGTGCAAAGTACCTGCAGCTGCCGGATCAACGTAGGAGGCATTAAGGTGTGTCAAGGATTCTCATGAAAATCCCGCACGATTCCTGCTTTTACTCTTCAGATCCATGGGGCATGTCATTTTATATACCATATTTGCGGGATTCTGCGACGCTGGGGTTAACTTAAACGATATTGAAAAGGGGCAGGTTTTGCAGATAGATTACCTTAAAGCGGAACTGAGTCGTCCGCACCTTGTTACCCCATATGAACAGCATTCCTTGAATTCCTGAGATGCGCAAGGCATTGCGATATAATATGGACTATGCCAACGTTTTTTATACCACAAGACTGATCACCTGCAGAGAATGGCATTGCGTGCCATCACCTTGCCAGCAAGCCAAGCCCTTAGTACGTTCCATCGAGGCAAAGGCACTGAGGTACGTGTCTTACGCCTAATGAATGCATGGCTTACTAACGTTCCACCGCGCTCATGCAAATTGTACCCGCCAGGTTATGTAAATTATAGCTTGATTTATGGGGAAAGACACGGTAAAACGAGCATACAAATTTGTCGTGATAATATTCATCGCGATGTAGACAGCTGTTTTCTTAGCAGCGTGAATACAAAACCAACTCGCACCAAAGAAAAGCTGGAATCAGTCCAAGGGCGTTCCGGTGGTTGGCCAAAAACCCTGAGTAGCCCCTGGCGGCAGTTGCATACAAACTTGTTGTTTTAAACGTCCCGGTCTCTCCACCAATTATAGTTCTGCCCCGGAACGCCAGTCGGCACTCTCTTTTCACGTTTTATGTCACGACCCAAGTTGCGGATCCTGGTGAAACCCCTGAATGGACCCTGGGGAATACCAGCGCATACCAGAACACGACCCTGGGGAGTACCAGGGCACTTTCTTGCCCACCGCCATGGGTGCGAAAAGAAACGTCCCCAGCTAGGTGTACAAACTGCCATCTGTCGTCAGTGACAAGTACGTATAGTTACTGAGGCTCACGCTGTAACATCGCCGGTCGCTTCTCGACGTCAGCCATCACGACAGCATTTTTTTGTTTTATTCATAGATGGCGTGGGCAACCAAACATCCAACGGTCGAGAAAGGAGGAAGTTTTGCATGGGGAGTCAAGGAAGAACGAGTAATTGTGATGGACACTCATCATAATCTGCCTAGCTGTTAATTACATCTAGTTAAAAGTCCGGACGTAATCTTGGCCAGCAGGCACATATTCGGAAGCTCCGAGGAAAAACATTCCGCGAGTTGCCTTCGATTCATCACTGTGGTCGAGATTTTATGTTTATTCATT